AGTAGGGTTGTTTTGTTCAATTAAAATAGATTTCTTGATTTTTCGTTTGTTTATGTTGGGTTCTTTGTTTAAAATGACTGTGTTTTTAATAGATATACTATGTTTTTTTGAGTTGCAATGGTGAAAAACATAGGACGGTTTTTTTATTGTGTTCTGTCAATCTGGTTTTCAATTTTCTTCCTGTTTCTCCTATGTAGAATTCTGGCCAGTTATTACATGCAATAACAGTAACAGTTAAATTGATCAAACCATAAACAATTAGAGGAATAATCAGATATTGACATAAAGAGAGACAAATGACTCATGCCTAAATATTTAGATAAACAGTTGAGAAAGAAACGTTAATATGTAAATTGAGGGATTGACAAAAGCTTAATATCCTCAGACAGTTATATGATGGATGCAGCTCGATATATTGTTAGGTATACACAATAGAAATTTTTCAGAGAAGCCTCTTAAGAGCATTGTTAATATTTATACATCATTACTAAACGTAACAGTTAATCCATGACTTGGCAAAGTACCTACGTCCACAATAGATCAATAAAAAGGCTTACTTATCAGTCTGTTTTCAACAACTATAAAAGAGTTGAACTGTATTTTTACCTATAAAACGAGTTTCCTTTTAAGAAACACAGTGCATTTTCACAACTCAGAACAGATAGAGAAGTTCGACAAACTAATTTTATAGGTTAAAGCACAGAAAATAATTACCTGCAAGAGCTATTCTTTAATAATATTTTGAAGTGTGAGTCAGACTCTGTTATAAGATCATTTTATGGTTTGTAAGATCAAATAGAACACGCAAGAAAGCAGATCTCTCTTTTAATAAACTTAACAAAAAAAAATTAAAACAGAAAGGTTTTAGTACAGACTAGAAACCTAGATATAAACTTTAAAGATACCAACAAAACTGTTTAAAGAGCTATGGACAATTAGATAATCAAGTTAATTCCAATAATTAGATTTAACTTAAAAAATAAACATAATAGACGCTCAAACAGACAAAAAAGTTAATCTCGCCTTAGTTAAACCAGAGTATGAATCCTATAGTTACACAAATAAAAATGAAATGCTAATACAACATGCATTTAAGAAAGAAAGCTCGCTGAGATGTGAAAAAAGAAAGAAAAACACGCTGCTGTTCAGGAGAGGTCCATTTTTAACCTGACACGAGCAATGACAACGATCAATGTCATATGCGCCATAAGGATATCCATCATTTAAACCAAGTAGCCTCGGAGAACAACAGTCAGAAATACGATTTCTGTAATTAAGAGTGACTTTGACCAAGATATATCACAAGTTTACAGTTTGTATTTTTTCGAATTTCTAAAAGTTTGAAAAATAATAATTTACATTAAGTGCTTATATACATTTGACATTTTAACCTTTTCCATACGTACTACATTCCCTTAGAACATTTCTCTGACGAAAAAGGAACACGTTATTGGTGACTCTTTTTTTTTTGTAATTTCACACGAAACATTAGCTGCTCTTACATTGTTCTAACACAAACAAAACTATGTTTTATACCTGATATTATTCCCATAAGAGAAACTAGTGTGCAGAGGCTATACGGTATATTAGTATACCCATTACGGTATCAAAAGCGAAAACTCGAAAAAACGCCGATTTTAAGGTATCGATATCAGACTAAAAATCAAAATTCCTGAAAACACTGATTTTAAGATATCAAAATAAAACTATAAAACGGGTAAAAATAAACACCGATTAAAACATGAACACCGAAAAATAGAAGCCCTAGGTACAAACAGTAATTAAGTCTAGAGTAGTAATTTTCCCGAAAGGGGGCCGAAAGCTGCCTGGAGGGGTTACCTGTTATAATCACTAGCACTAATTACAATAGTGTGTTGTCTGTCAGCCACCAGTAGACACTAAATGGCGTCACTAAAGACGCTTAAGTTGCAATTTATATTGTGGTGACGTCAGTAAAACGTGCGCATGCCATGAATTACGAGAAGAATTATCTACTCTGTAAGCTATAACACAGCATGACATGTGAACTTCTAAAGCAAGAAATAAATATATTTATTACTCTTAATTTTGATTTTATTTACTCTTGAAACAGAACACTTTCGAGGACCCTGCGGAATTACATTTTAGTACAGTAATACTGGTTTGAAGTAGACATATGATCTATACGTACAACTGAATACATTGTAATACTGTATGTAACAAAATACAATATCGTGTACTAAATCTACATTATCATTATTAGCAACTCTGAAAAGTACCCGAAGTAAACAAATGGCACACATAACTTAGCAGTTTGTAACCGTGTAATTAGTTTCGTGGCAAATCAGAATATATTAATTAGCGGAACTAAGAAAACTAATAACAACTTGTAGACCATTATAAAAGAATTAAATTATTCTTTTTTCCCATTCCTCTTCTTTTCTTATTCCCCTAATTTATTTCCCATTTCCAGTTTCTTTCGCCCTCTCTCTCTTTTTCCGTTTATATATATTCTGTATCATAAGCTATCTAAATTAACTCGTCACCTCGGCTCACTACCCTTGTTCAGTCTTTATCATAAAAAAAGCGCCTAGTTTTAATTTAAAGTGGGTCTAGTGAACAATCTACAATATTTCACAAGGACGTGTACGCCAGTATAAAGAGTTGTAGTCTATATTCTCCCCTTCCCATTTTGTTTTATTAATTAGAGGAGGTTATATTTTATCAGGTAGGTGGTGTCACTGCCTATGTAGGAATGGCTCGGATTGTTCATAGAAAATAGAAGCTAGCAATGAGACTGATCACATCAATAACAGTTTGCCTCAAGGATAACCAATCTTCAACATCAACACTATGGATCCATCTTATATTGATAGTCCAACCAGATGTCGGGTGATAACCTTTGCTCATGACATTCTGGTGTACAGCAGAGATTCTAGTAAAGCTGAAATCGAAAACAAGGTGCAACCATTTCTTATCAGGTAAGAAAATGGTGCAATGACACAGGAATGGTAAACAATGCCACCAAAGCCACAGTCGTGTTGTGTCGAATCAATATCAGACATGCTGATGGGGGTAAACCATCATCATCTGTTATAGTCATTGCCATTCCTCTGAAAGAAGCAATAAATTAACTGAGGGTAGCCTGTGATAGACAATTCAACCTCGCCAGCCACATTATCACTATGATAACAAGAGTTACAAAATGCATCAATGTACCAAAAGTTGCAGCAGGAAATAAAGCTAAAGAATGTCACCTGCTTAAGCTTTACTAGCCTTATCGGCACTGTCCTGGATTAAGCACAACTATTTACCAGCTAGATAAGATTGGAAAGATACAAAACATTGTCTGTTTAATAACGATCACTTCAGCCATCCCCATCAAGGCCCTATTACACCCCACAAGCTTCAGCTTCATCACAAAGCATCAATAGCACTTACAAACAAAACTATTTATAGAGACTTGCAGAGTAATGACCATGTATTTTATCACTGTGCCACTGCCTTTCAAACTGAGAAATTCTAGCTTCACAATGACCTTGCAGACACCAAACAATCAGTATATTGTCTATAAGGTGCCTCAGGAGATAGTCATCGGTGGACAGATGCTACACAGCTACCACTGAGATAATTGGTCCTCATCAGATCTCAGTTGTCTCCGATGTAGAACAAATGGTCTAAGGTTATTTGTAAGTCATTTAGGGTTGGGTGATCATTTGCTATCATTGAGCTTTTTCTAATCCGGGGTTGAAGGTGTGAACATCCTGTAGTAATAATAGAGAAATCATTACATGAAATGGTTGTGACCTGTGAATGAACAGCTGAGAAGCTGAGTTTAAATAATGTACAGCCTCTGGATCACTCAATGTAATAAACCACAAATATACACTGCCATCAACATAATATTTACACCTGATTCTCAGATTTTACTGCATAAAACTCAGAAATGTTGGTATCCAGATTATGGCAAAAAGCAAAGTAACTGTAAAGTAAGGCCATCGCCTGGATTTATGTGCCAAATCATGCATGGGTAAAGCTAAACGAGAAACCTGACAAGAGCACAAGAGAAGTCTCTATATCAAGTCTAGAACAACTCTACTGGCAAGATAATGACCTCCTCTGCCATAGTAAGGCAAACAAGGCAACCATGGAAGGTCTTCAAAAATATTTAGGAGAAATGAGACTGCTGGAAAAATAATACTTATGGTGTAGATAGGGAAAAAATACAGATAAGGAAGGGACTGTCACCTACTACTCAACTCAACCCAAGTAAAGGATTATGAGATATCACACTAAGACTTTAGTCTAACTTGAAGATATTGAACACATACAATCCTATACGTCATTATTATGTACATATATTTTGTCTCCTACCCGCTCCAGCAGTCAGAATGTTTAAATGACACCAGAGGCTGACCATCCCTAAATTTTGTAAGTATTCAGTAAAACTGCACAGTATGTGAGTGTGTGAGTAATTTTTTGTTTTACTTGTCTTATACTTGAGTATTTAAGATGGCTATTGGGAGCATTGACCCTTCAACAACACCAGGGCCATGTTGCTAGACGATATAATAGGATTAGGGCAGGAGGCATGTTGCTATGTGTACATTGCTAGGTTGTATAATACATCAGCAACACCAGGGGCGCATTACTATGGGCAGAATACTAGGTGCCACAAGATGGCGGATTTCTAACATTTATCTTTTTCATAATATTTCATTCGAACTATAGTCTCTGTTTTATAATTAATTATCATCGAAACATTCTGGGATACGTAGAGAAAGACGACTTTATCAGAATAGTGTGCATGTATCCTACTTTTGGGGATATGAAGAACAAACAAAATCTGTAAAATAACTGTGAGAAGAATAAGAAAGTTGTTGACAAAATATTTCAAGTTATTGTTTCTTACAATAAAATACAAGTGCATATAGATTATTTCAAATTTTATAAACTCATGTTTGTTTACTTCTGCCTCCCAACGGCCGTCTTAACTACTGAAGTATAAAACAAGTAAAGAAAAACATTATTCACACACATACTGTGCAGTTTTATTGAACACCGTATAGATAGACAACTGGATGGGACAAGTCAAAAGAAGCTTATTTTAAAACACGTATTACATGAAAGAAAACCAAATTATATAAACTCAGTTATTTATGGGGTACTAGCATAGTATAACTGCAAATATAGTTTCAAAAAAATGTTTAATTGCGAGGAGTAAGTCTTAAAAGTAGTACAAGTAAAAAAGAAATGAAATTACGGCAATGAATAGAAGGTTGAATCTACAGTAAGTTCACATGTTGAGTAACAAAACATACAAGGCTCTACTGGTTACAAGAATGAGACCAGATCGAAATGGTTGTTATAAGAATTTGTTTTTTTTTACATAAAGCCAAATTCTGTGGGAGTCTTGATCACAAAAGGTAAAATGTTGCACAAAGTAGCTTCCCATCTATCCAACAGTGTACTTATACATAGGTTGTCTCTTTTAATTGTTAGTCTACTTGACTAATAATACTAGAACAGACTTCTATTTCTAGTATAAATGAAGTAATTATTAACAACATAAACTCCCCACACCTGAAATGATAAGACTTGCGGCACCTTGGGCTGACTCTTCGGCGTTTTTCACATAGCATTGATACATTCCACCGTCTTGTTGTCTTGTTGGATTGATATATAGACTCTCTGGACTCGGAAACATAATCCTCCGATCCGCCATCAGAGGACGCTCGTCTTTCCACCAGCTTACTGAGAGTATTGGGTAGCCTTTTACCGTACAGTTTATTACAGCTGGATTTCCTGAATCAACTTCCTGGTAGTCAGGGTGGATAAGCACCTCTAATGTTGCTTGAAGACAAAGAAAGTAATAAATATCCTTAAAACTGCATATTCAAATACATTTGTATAGTAAAATTAAAGTTTCGCATAGTACCGTGAACATATAATCAATAGATTCTGATCAAAGCAAGCTACCTATTTATGACGGAATAAAAACTTAATCTAGTAAATATTGTAATAAATTAATATACCAGACTAACTAGGAGTATGCAATGTCAAAAAATATTTTTATAATGATAAAAATATTTTAATCTATGATTTAAGTACCTTCATACTTATGACTATTATTGGCCGTAATCCCAACAATATCTCACGAGGTTCGGCAAATTTAAGAGATGCAGGTTATTTCCAAGTTCAACAATAATCCAAATAATAATTATAATAATATATTAAATGAATATTAGTAAACAACTGTTTTATATACATTAAACATTTGATCTCTGCTATTAAATAAACTAAAGTTAGGGAACAAATGGAAAATAATTTACTTGATAGACACATTAGAAATAATTGCTTGCTTCTCGTTATTTGCTATGTTTTCTGTCCCATTTTATGTTCATTGCACAAAGAGAAAAACAAAAATAAATCCAACAAACCCGAAAACTATAGTTTAGTTATAGCGAATAGAATAGCTCGAGTTATTAGAAAATGCCTTTTTAGCAGGAAATACGTGGATAACTAAATAGCTCAGTCGATAAGAGCATTTGTTTGGCGTTCAAGAGATACTGAACTATCTTATGAAATGCTGTTCGTTCTAAGTATATGAAAGTATATTAAAGTATTTTATGACGAGTTTCTGCAACCAGCGGCCGCCTGACTTCACATAATTGTCTTCTAGGTAGAAAACAGCCATCATTTATTTATCGAAAAAAGAAAAAAATAATTTGCTAGACGTGTGTGATTGGCGTATTTTGGCACTTCAAACGACCACTAAATAACGTTTGTATACTGTTCATCTCATACACTCGTTTTGCTCACTTGTAAAAAATAGAAATAAAAACAAATTTAGGTAGATGGTTACCAAACATTTTGGGAATGAATTTTATGTGGTAACTTTATAAATAAATGAAAATTTCTGAATAAAAAATTTACTACAAAACAAAAGAAGTCTCAGTGAAGAAGAAACTATAACCATCTCACAATTCAAAAAGCTTTGAATATTGAACGGTATGCAAGAAGTAATGTTATAAACACAGCTTTAGAATATTATTTTGTGGCACAAATCAAGGCTAATCTCACGAAATAACGCTTCGAAAGAAAATATACACAAACAAATTAAGTTCTTATGTTGATGTGTATTATTCAAAATTCAATATTATATATGAATGAGTTATAAATTTTCCATTACAGTTGTAAGTTAAGTATGATTCAGAAAAGTTTCTATATTTGTTTACACTGCCTAGGATTTTGTAGTTTGTATGTATTATTAACTTACCTATAACATCAAGTTGGACGTCTCTTCTTTCTTGTCCAACATCATTACTGGCCATACAGAAATAGAGCCCAGCATCCTTAACGGTCACTCGTCGAATAATTAGTGTTCCATCAACCTGGTCAATGCGTTGATCCTTGTCTATGATGGTCATATGACCATTGTCCGAAACGTACCATGCATAACGTGGTGTTGGATAGCCATGAGCCAGGCAAGGTAAACTGACAGTTGACCCTTCTTTAGTTCGAACATTTTTATCAAAATGGACGAATAATGGAGCTTGAGTGGTGTGTGATTCTGCGATCGTGGAGAAAGGAATGTTACAGGAGTTTTTATTAGAAAACTGTAAAATAGAAATTCAATGTAATACGTTTTATGTGACCTTTTCACAACACTCATACAAATAATAATAATAATATTTCGCGTATATTATTTCTTCTTATTTTGTCAAAACTTTTGACATCCTAAAATTAAAACGGCTTGGGATAAGCAATGAAACATAGGTGTTTCCGTCTGATTTATTTTATAGTAGTATTTCCGTTATACGATAGAGTAAGAGCTTTAACGAGGGACATATTTCATAGCCAAGGACTCTATATTTGCTGCCACAGAAGCTACGTTTGTTTTTATCATATTTCATTATTGTTTTTATGAGAATTGTTTCAAAATCATGTATTTTTTCAAGTGACATAATTTAATAGTATGTTTAATTTTTATGAGTAACTAAATAGCAGTAAATACAGACGACTTACTATGACTTGAATGAGTTTGAAGCTGTTTATTAGATATTTATGATGGTATATTTTTGGTGTAAATCACTGTTTTATTATACAATTCCTAAAACAAACAAAACTCTTGTATAACTTACTAGTGGTTATTGATAAGAGAGCCCCCCAGTGGCACAGCGGTATGTCTGCGGACTTACAACGCTAGAATCCGGGTTTCGATACCCGTGGTGGGCAGAGCACAGATAGCCCATTGTGTAGCTTTGTGCTTAATTACAAAACATAAACATAAACATTGATAAAAGAAAAGCATGAAACATGTATTCAGCCACCATTGCTATTTGTGGGAATTAGTGACCTATAAATACATTTTTAAGTATACTTTTTAAAAAATACACGTAAACGAAATGGATTGTTTATGAAGATTACAGAACTCATAAGAAAGTTACACTTCAAATTAGAAAACTTAAAACTTATTATTTCTATAATCAGATATGATTGTTTTATACTAAGTCATATGTCTTTTAAAGTTCAGTACACGAGTTAAATTTATGTATAATAACTATTTAAACATGCCAAACTGCTTTACTATAGTTACTACTTAACACTTAGAATTTTATTGTTTTTGAATTATCAATAATAAAAACCAAATGACATATATAGTATGCATCAAGGGGTACTAAACTTATCTAGTTTACACCAAAACATTATCATTATGGTTGAGCTATAAAAAATAGATATTTGGAAAAGCACGAATATAACACTCTATTGGTCTTCCTCATTAATGTAACAAAACAGCGATCTTGTTTTTTGTTGTGCGATAAGGAAGTACAAGCATGCTTTGATATAAGAATCTAACTGTAGAGTTCAGTTAATATTCTACTAGTTTCATTAAAACTCCCAGATCCGTTTAAAAGAAACACAACTTTCAATGTATCTGGTGCCGACTACAATGTTATGTTTAAAACATTGATCTTGTTTTTCGCTGTGGCAATTACATGCAGTAGTGAAACAGGCAGCATTTGCAATGAACTTACGAATGTGTGTTTAACATTAAATGTACTATGTATAACAATTTTGCACTTATTCGGAATGAATCAGAAAAGCATTCACTTACAATAAATATGTGATCAGAAAGCTGCGAGAATAGGGTTTGTTAGTAAATATACCCAGTTTATTATGGGTGATTTGCTAGACTGTCTAGGCAGAAAACGCAAGTAGAAGTAATATAGGGAAGAGAAAAGAAAAACGAATTCAATACTTTTCAGCTGACACTCAAACACTTTAGCTTGCGAATCCATAGCAAGTATACAACAGCTTAGTGATTAAAATACTGACAACCCAAGATCCCATAGGCATTTAAGGGTATGTTAAAGGGTATGTCTAAGGCGAGCATTTTTCTTATTATTCCGTTTATACTTTTCTAAAAGTCCTGAAGAGGCAGATGTGACCAGAGCTGACCAAGATCAGAAGAACGTGATGACAAAACAAAGAAGAAATCTCGCTTCTCAACGTTACTTTTGATAAATTTAACTCAGACGGAAATAACATAACTTAAAAAAATCACTATTTGATCAAACCCATTAATTATTAAGAATATTGATAAATAAAAAATAATTTTTCATGTGGTTTTAAGTATACGTATACTCAGTAATAAGCATCTTACTTTTACAGTTTCTGTACAGCGTTAAGTTATAAACGGTTCTCTTGGAACAATATAATATTTCTAGCAAGGATATAGACACATAGGAATTTATTTTGATCTTTCTTTATACTTGTTTATCAAACGTTTACAGATACATATTTATGTATAAGTTTATAATTTCATCCAGTGAATGTTTAATGCCTTTTTCGAAGTTTTAAGAAAGTTTGTATTTGAAGAAAAATACCCTTTATCACCAAACACTTTTTTTCTTTTGCTTGTTATGGTAAAAATATACCTGTTTGTATAACTGTGCCTACATAACGCTACTGTTTCGATCAACATGATTTACATATGATTAATGTCAATATAATCCATATTTATTCTAAATATACTGAATAAGGAGGTGGGTGCCTCAAACTAAGCTACATCATTTTCCAAGTTTCATTACAATACACAATATTTTCCGCCCTGTAAGTGCACAAAAGGACGCTTTTTAGCACTGATTTGTCTACTGAAATTGATGAGTTTCTCGAAACAAGCAGTACACGAGTATGTGTTTACATTAGTGAAACACGCAAGGAAAAGCAACTGTTCGAGATTCATTTAGCACGCTGGGCGGAACCACGAACGAAAAGGTAATATTCATCTTTTCTCGTGGCTAGTGAAACAAACAGGAACTCTCGCTTTCTCGAAGAAAATAACATGTATTACGTTTCTATATTAAAAATATTATGGAATTCCCACGAATAGTATACAGTATGTATGGGTTCTTATACAAGACTCCATTATTTAATACACGATTTGTTTCTCGTTTACGTGCATTCAAAAATCCCACAATTAGGTGCTCACGTTTAATATTTTTATATCGTAACCAGTTAAAAATGACTCCTTCTGAGTAACTCTAACAAAATATATTGTGTATTATTTACATTTTGCAACAAGATAAATTTATGTGTAACTGTTGTGCTCGAAGCATCTTGCTGATGGGCATACACGACCATTATAACTGAAGCGTGTTACCTCAGTAGATGTTCTTCACATATCCAATAGGTAAAAACTATTTTAATATTCAGTAGAATTGAAACTGTTTGGTATCTGCATTCTAGGCCTATTATATTATATATGCTTTGGCTGGTGATTGTTGTTTGCATATTTTTACTAGCATCTAATATTATTTTTTCAACTTTGACATCAACTTGAACAACACACCATAATTTGCCAGGTCATGTTTCGTCTTGAGAATCGCTAAACCTGACACAACTCAAGACCAGAGACGTAGCTGTTTTATCTATACCTGAAAATAAAAAAATACCCCTTGAAAGTACTTTTAAGTACTAAAAACTTAGCAGCATGATTTCATATTTTGTGCTAAAAATGTGTGCAATTAACATTTAACTCCGATTTATATGCCGTAAGAATATGACAAAAAGGCTTTTCATCGGATACAACAAATCATTAGATTAGAGTCTTTAGATTGCCTGGGACAAGATAGTCAACGTTTAAGTTCAAGAATTATTCAAAGGTACTGTTATGAAAGAGTAAAACGTAACTCTACGAATAAAGTTCTATAAACAACTTGATATTGATTTAGTTTATCACGATTATCTGTTTTTCTTGGTATTACGGATTTGGTTAGTTTTTGTTTCTTGTATCATTAATTAGTGCCTGAGGGTTATGATAACTACTGAGTTTTTTATTAGAAAATGATTTACACTACATAAAATTACTTATACTGGATATCATAGAATATAACGGTTAATATATCGTCCACTAATTGTAACTTGAGAAACACATATTTGCACTAAATGTTCTGGGGTTTGCAGCTTGCAATCTCTGTTGAATTTAGTTAATATTTTAATTCTGAAAATTAGAAGTAAATGTGAAGCTCAACCTATCATTCGATTTGATGCTTGCTACTGAGTTATTCAGGTTTCGGAATTTCCACTCCTCATCAGAAACCTAGGACAAAGGCAAATTAAAAAACAAACAAACAAACTAGTATAATAGTTGACTGCATATTATATGTATTAGCATAAATGGTCCCTCTCACGAATCACAGAGGCACCAATGTACCGATCAAGTTTCTCCATTATCCCAAATTACTTCTATAACAACCCCAAGGGAATTCACACCCGAAAACAAACCCTGTAGTACTTGAGATTGTGTCCCATGTCTAGTCCCGCTAACTTATGAATAGAGGTATAACACAGTTTCAAATATAGTACCTGCTGGATTTCGAGAGGGGGCCAGGAACACAAAATTCATGCCAGGTTCTGGTTCACTGACACTGAAAACCTGCTCCTAAATCAAATATAGTTAGGTGATCTTCTAGGTGCATTTTAGCCCGTTAGATATACATGACTATTTAAGTTTAATGCGAGTGTTATGACTCAGATGGTTTTAAGTATAGCACCAGTGTTAAATTTAGTTATTTTTAGAAGCGACTGTTTATCGAAGGTTTGTTTAAGTAACTGTTTTCTAACCATACGTTGTGTAGTTCATCTGTTGCGAATTGGGGATTGTTGTATTATTGCATCATGTTACTGGAATCTTGCATCATAATATCTCTTAGGGTGTGGAACTTTCTAGGCCGCCTCTGTCGAGCTATAAATATGTGTCCAAAATGTACCTCGAGTTAGTTAGAATGATCTAGACTGCGTGATTGTGAGCTTAGCCATAACGAGCGTATAGTGGCGATTTATAAATTGAAAATATTACAGATGATATTGAAATAACAAAGTAGAGAAGAAATAATTCGTCTCATTGAATTGTGTTCTAAAGTAACTGAACCAGACTGTGTGGACTTTGACGAAGAAGAGACAATTCTTTAAAGCTCTGGATATGACTGTGGTAACCAACAGTTATAGTGGTGACTTTAAAATAAAATTATTAGAGACTGTATTGTAAAAACAGAGTAGAGAAAAAGA